TTTCAAGCCACTCTATCATATCATTCTCACCGGTAAGACTTATATTCATGGAGTCTTGGAACCCAAGCTTCGCAAATACCACTATATTGATGACGTTGGCTACAATGCCCATCAAACTGACAAGTCCACAGATGACCACGAAGTTCAGTATTGCTATGGCTCCCCGCTCTTCATTACTGAGAAAAGGTACAAACTTAACGGAAGAAGACGTCATGGCCTCCATCGTATTCTCATTCGAAGAGAAAGTGACATGGTTAATTGTTCCAGACGTGGACGATACCATCTTATGCAGTTGGGGAGCTTAGGATGAGTCTATTTCTACGGGTTTTTTACGCACATAATGTTTATTTACTAGTATAGCTTTTTTTCTCAATTGCACAATTCAAAATAAACAAAGACCAGGAAGGCCTGGAATGGTATGATGCTCACAGATATGCTTCACTTCATTGTTGAAGGTGTCCCTTCAATAATAAAAAAGAAATACAGAAAGAATGTTGTCTGAGACGCTCAACTTGCCTTATTTACATCAGTGTTTCGCCTGGCTTTGTTCAGCTTTCCACGTTTTAAGAACAAATTACAGTTTTCTTCAAAGTGACGGTTTCAGTCTACGTTTATCTGGCCAATTATTTTTTTTATACTATGATATATTATTATTATGACATGTTCCCTAGCAATTATTGTTTAGCCCAAATTCCACCCGAAAGGCAAGCTATAATAATGTGCTTTACAGTCTCTGTAACAGTATGTCTGTTCTTAGCGACAATTATAGATGTGTTAGAGTGCGGGTTTATGAACAAAGTAATTCTATATAAATTTTTTGTCTACTCGTAACTCGAAATTATTCTTTTTCTTTGCTCGTAAAAGGTTTCTTATATGAATATCTGCTTTGCTTTTCGAGTGGTACAAAAGAAACTAACATTTGTCACTGTTAAATTAAGGGGTGACTTCGACTAATTTTTTAAGACAGATATTATATTTCATCAGTTACAATAACTCACAAGTCTACCTTTTCATTACCAAAAGCAATTACAAGAGTAACTATTTCTTTTACACTAACTAGTTGCAGTGTTCAAGACTTGTCTAAATGAATGGGGTGAAACCAGTAATTAACACCTCCTCACACCCACTCCCATCCCAACCCGCAAATCCATCCCAAAAACACGAGAACTGGCTGCTGAAAATGAAGAAAAAGGTTTATCTTCTTTGTCTACAAGACACCTACGTAGTAAATCTTTTTTTTTTTTTTGGTCCCTTGCCCATGTCTATGATATTGACGCCATCTGATTAGTAGAAAAATGTGCGTATGAGAGTGCCCAATAATGTATAACGTACAAATTTGTTATGACATATAACTGTTACATATAGATGTTTAAGATAATTATAGATGTTTGTGAAGGATCTGAGAGCAATGATGACCTTAGAAATGACGGTGATGGTGGTGGTAAGTGATGATGTGGGATGGTGCTTACGTTTATAATTATAAGAAAACATGCTTCTGTTATTTGATTGTTGTTGTTTAAAAAAAAATAATGTTAGCGTTAGTCCTATCTTCCTCTGCTCTGATGAGTCACGAGGGATGTGGGCACCCGCTATCCCGTTCCCTACTGGAACCATCTTTAATGTCACCGTGAAGTTCCGAAATGGTGGGCACAGTCTCTGCTATGGTGACCTTGTTAGTATTAGCCTATTCTAGCGGACCAAGACAAGTGAAGAGAGGACCTTAGTAGGTAGCTAGTACAGTGGTAGAGATTATTTTTGGGGTTTCGTAAGGGGTTTGCAGGCAGCAATTCACAATTGGGTTAAAGACTTTATACTTATTTATATATGAAGTTGCGGAGATTCCGACACAGGATCCTCGAACCCGAGTCGAGAGGGAACAATTTACACACAATATTGTATCCCCTCGCCTCGGGGGGAGCGGCCTCAAACTCCCCAATCAAGCACCCTGTGTCTGCATCTACACGGTCTCGTCATACATTTGTGTAATTTCCAAAATGACGTTTGAAAATGAATCTTAAATTTGACAAATCATTAACTGTGTATATGCTACCAGCTAAATCTAGATAATAACATATAGATCTAGTACTGACAGTCTGACAATAGTGGACGAGTGTGTGTGTGTGTGTGTGTGTGTGTGTGTGTGTGTGTGTGTGTGTGTGTTTTGTGTGTGTGTGCTTGCGCGCGCGCGCGCGTGTGTGTGTGTGTGTGTGTGTGTGTGTGTGTGTGTGTGTGTGTGTGTGTGTGTGTGTGTGAGAGAGAGAAAGAGAGAGAGAGAGAGACAGAGACAGAGACAGAGACAGAGACAGAGAGAAGGAAAGAAAGAGAGAGAGAGAAAAATAGAGAGAGGAACAGGAGAAAGGGAGGGAGGTAGGGAGGGAAAAGGAAAGAAATAGAGAGAGGAACAGGAGAAAGGGAGGGAGGTAGGGAGGGAAAAGGAAAGTAAGACGTGGATTAGGAGAAGACGGGAGAGAGAGAGAGAGAGAGAGAGAGAGAGAGAGAGAGAGAGAGAGAGAGAGAGAGAGAGAGAGAGAGAGAGGGAGAGAGAGAGAGAGAGAGAGAGAGAGAGAGAGAGAGAGAGAGAGAGAGAGAGAGAGGTCGTCCATGAAGAGTTAAACATTATTATTATGATGAGTAGGGTGCTGAGGGAATGGTTATACTATAGAGACTGGCCATCTTTTCTCCCAAACATAAGGCGTCCGTTAACTTTGTCTAATGGGGTATTGAACAATGTTATCATGCAATATACTGCCAGAAAAGTATATAGATATTTTTTTAATATTTAAAAAAAAGTAAAACCACACTTTTCCCATCCGTTTCTTTCAGATATGAGCTGCTGGAAACAGGATATTTATATATATATATATTTTATCTTACCACCGCAGGTGCTATCGATGAGCTTTACGACCACCTACTTTCTCTCAGCTCCAGCTCCGATTCAAACAAGATTTGTATATTTGTCGCTTTGCTGTAGCGTAACTTGCTAACACACATCTTTGCGATCAAAAGAATGTGGTTAGCGATGTTTAACTGGGCTTCTGTTACACCTTGCCCTCGTTCACTGAAACCAAAAAGTATGTTACAGTCAGTCATGGGAAAACGGGAGGAAGTTTTGAGACAAATCGTATGAAATACGTATTTCCAGAAGTTTTTTAATAAGGTACAATGAATAAACATGTGCTCAATAACGTCTTTGACACCACAGTGCTCACATAGTTCAGTATTTTTAATGCCTAGGCGATTGAGAAGAATGTTACTTGGGAAGATGTTATGGAGGATTTTAAAATGCAATAATCTAAGTCGAGATTCTTTCGTTGACCTGTGTGCTATGTTGTATTTACATGTTATGTCAATGTTCATTTTTCTCATCCAAAAATTCCGACCACAAATTTCTGCATGTCTTCTGTATTTTAGAAGTTGTCTGATCTCTCTGTTCGATTTGCTCAGTATCTCTAGAACAGTTTTCTTACCATTCGTATTTATTACCTCTCTGGTATTTACCAAAAGTTCCTCGGTGTTGTTGTCACTGACGTCTTGCTTCCACTGTGTAGGAAGAGCATTCATCAACGCATAATAGTCAAAATCAAAGGCAGCATATGTCCCTGTGATATGAGACAATTCCTCCTTACTTTTTAATATTCTCCTATCATACAGATGATATACATATTTTATACCCGAGTTCATCCATCTTTTTAGGTACAATGATTTTCCTTTATATTTTATGTTTCGGTTATTGAACAAAGGTTCCATAAGTATCTCTATCGTGGAGCTTGGTTCTTTTTTTATAGAAGCCATTTCGATCCATGTATCCATCACACTCTCCCAGAACTTAGAGGCATGACACAATTTTCCCGTTTTCTTGCAGTTTGCTGTAGCCGAAAAAAAGTAATCACACCCTCCTACCTCCGTAAAAGCTAAGTCTGAAATTCTGTTGGGAATATTGTTGGGTCTGCCTTCGGTAACAGTTGCCATACGTTTTAACCAATTTAATAGAAAAACTTTCTGTTGATCTTTAACACTTATAACACCCAAACCTCCTTCCTCAATCGATCTACACATTACCGTTCTTTTTACTTTCTCGCGTGCTTTCTTGTTTGAGTGCCTCTTCTGCCACAGAAACTTAAAGAACAAAGTATCAATTGTATTCAAAACTCTTTCGGGTAAAGATAGTGACTGAATTATATAGGATATTTGAGACAGCAGAAAGGTTTTACAAATAATTACTTTCCCATATAGGGATGGATTCCTTTTCATCCACATTTTCATGATATTTTTCATATTTTCTATTTTGTCTATCCAATTAAGTTCTATGCGAGATGCTTCCTCTGTTGCACTAAAGTGAATACCTAGTATCTTAATTGTATTCCCATTAGGGACCCAACTGATTCCTCCTAATTTTTCAGTGCGTGTTCTATCACTTCCAATCCACATACCTTGTGATTTATCCTTGTTCAGCCTGAGCCCAGAGATGCTACCAAAAGAATCGATGTCCAACAAGGCTGAAGCAAGGTCTTCTTGGTCTTTTAGAATCAGAGTGGTGTCATCAGCATACTGCAAAACTTTGCAAAAATTAATTATTTCCCCTGACAAAATTGTGCTCATTCCAGATATGCTGCTATTGTTTCTTAACTTTATTGACATCAACTCAGCAACAAGTACAAAAAGAAGTGGACTTGTGCAGCAACCTTGTTTTATTCCTCGCTCTGTGTTGAGCCATTCTGACAACCATCCCCCATTTTGTACACAACATTCTGTGTTAGCCATTAAAACTCCCACCATATTTATAAATCCTTCTCCAAAGTTAAACTTTTTCAATGTGGCCAATATTGTTCCCTTTTCTACAGTGTCGAATGCGCGTTGAAAATCCAGAGATACCACCATACCTGGTAGATTTTTTTCAGATGCTACGTAGATAATGTCGTCAAGTGTCCTAATGTGCTCCGAAATGGACCTGCCTTTCAAGAAGCCAGTTTGGTTTTCATTTATTAAAATTGGCATAACACGCTGTAGCCGTATAGCTAATATTTTGGAGAAGATTTTGTAGTCCGTGTTTGTTAACGTTATCGGTCTCCAGTTCTTTATATTGTCCCTTCGTAAATTTTTCCCTTTATGTAATAAAGAAATAACGCCTCTTCTTTGAGTGGGAGATAACTCTCCCGTCTCTAGACACTGCTGGAAGTTTGTAAATAAAGGTTTCCTCAGTTTGCTCCAGAAAAATTTGTAAAAAGGGGTGGTAATTCCATCGATTCCAGGTGCTGAATCAATATTCAACTTATTAACAATGGCATCTAATTCAACAATGCTTAGTTCGCTATCACATATTTCTTTATCAACATCATCGAGTACTGGAAAGCTACATCCTTGCATGAAATCATCAACTTTGTTTGTTTCAATATTATGGTCTTTCTTATATAAACGTTCAAAGTGATTTTTAATGCTATCCACAATATCTACATGACCATACAGATTGTTGTTTTTGTCATCCTGTAAAGAAGTTATAACATTACTACCACCTCTCATTTGTTCCATCCGAAGAAAGTATTTCGTATTCTTTTCCCCTTCCTCAATCCATTTTTGTCTTGATCGTATTTGTGCTCCCCTGGCCTTATGTAGTTGATATATTTCTAATTCTTTCTTTTTGGCTTCAAACTGTTTAAGCAATGTAAGGTCATGGGGGGTTTTCACTACTTGATCATTTAATTTCAAAAGTTCTTCCGTTATTAGAATTTCCCTTAGTTTGAGTGCTCTGCACTTTCTAATACAATAGTCAATTGTATGTGACTTTATCATGACTTTCAAAAGTTCCCATCTTATGGTTTTATCTGTTTCATCTAAAGTCCGTTCTAAATATTCGTCTATGCATTTCTCCATTGAGTTAACGTACTCTTTGTCTTTTAGTAATGAATTATTAAATTTCCAGTATGAAGGCCCCCTTTTAAATTGTTCAGTTCGAACAGTAGTTATGACTGCTTTATGATCCGTACCATATACAAATGTGTGTTTAGAGTCTATAACAAAGGGAAATAACTTAGTATTACAAAATATGTAGTCCAGCCGCCGTGCTGTAAAGGGTGTAGGCCTGGACCAGGTGAAATCCTTTTCTTCACCGTGCACACCCCGCCAGGTATCAACGATCTGACAGTTGGCGATCCAGTCCCTGAATTTTTGTGTGGACATGTCGTCGTGTTTCTCTCCTGTCACAATATCAAGGGTATTGTTATGAACAACATTGAAATCTCCACATATGATCGTGTGGTCTGCCTTTTCATCTTTAAGAACAGAGTAGAGCTTATCAATGAAATCCAATTTATCATTTTTAACTACTGGACCATATACATTAATTGCTACGTATGAAACATCATCAATACTGAAAGACAACCCAAGTATTCTCTCAGTTTTTATACATAATTCCACTGTTTTATACTTAAAGTGTTTATTAACTAATATAATTTGCCCTTTGCTTTTGTTTGTCCCTTCACTATAAAAGAAATCCCCAGACCATTCTAAACTCCACTCTTGCCCTCGTTCACTGAAACCAAAAAGTATGTTACAGTCAGTCATGGGAAAACGGGAGGAAGTTTTGAGACAAATCGTATGAAATACGTATTTCCAGAAGTTTTTTAATAAGGTACAATGAATAAACATGTGCTCAATAACGTCTTTGACACCACAGTGCTCACATAGTTCAGTATTTTTAATGCCTAGGCGATTGAGTAGAATGTTACTTGGGAAGATGTTATGGAGGATTTTAAAATGCAATAATCTAAGTCGAGATTCTTTCGTTGACCTGTGTGCTATGTTGTATTTACATGTTATGTCAATGTTCATTTTTCTCATCCAAAAATTCCGACCACAAATTTCTGCATGTCTTCTGTATTTTAGAAGTTGTCTGATCTCTCTGTTCGATTTGCTCAGTATCTCTAGAACAGTTTTCTTACCATTCGTATTTATTACCTCTCTGGTATTTACCAAAAGTTCCTCGGTGTTGTTGTCACTGACGTCTTGCTTCCACTGTGTAGGAAGAGCATTCATCAACGCATAATAGTCAAAATCAAAGGCAGCATATGTCCCTGTGATATGAGACAATTCCTCCTTACTTTTTAATATTCTCCTATCATACAGATGATATACATATTTTATACCCGAGTTCATCCATCTTTTTAGGTACAATGATTTTCCTTTATATTTTATGTTTCGGTTATTGAACAAAGGTTCCATAAGTATCTCTATCGTGGAGCTTGGTTCTTTTTTTATAGAAGCCATTTCGATCCATGTATCCATCACACTCTCCCAGAACTTAGAGGCATGACACAATTTTCCCGTTTTCTTGCAGTTTGCTGTAGCCGAAAAAAAGTAATCACACCCTCCTACCTCCGTAAAAGCTAAGTCTGAAATTCTGTTGGGAATATTGTTGGGTCTGCCTTCGGTAACAGTTGCCATACGTTTTAACCAATTTAATAGAAAAACTTTCTGTTGATCTTTAACACTTATAACACCCAAACCTCCTTCCTCAATCGATCTACACATTACCGTTCTTTTTACTTTCTCGCGTGCTTTCTTGTTTGAGTGCCTCTTCTGCCACAGAAACTTAAAGAACAAAGTATCAATTGTATTCAAAACTCTTTCGGGTAAAGATAGTGACTGAATTATATAGGATATTTGAGACAGCAGAAAGGTTTTACAAATAATTACTTTCCCATATAGGGATGGATTCCTTTTCATCCACATTTTCATGATATTTTTCATATTTTCTATTTTGTCTATCCAATTAAGTTCTATGCGAGATGCTTCCTCTGTTGCACTAAAGTGAATACCTAGTATCTTAATTGTATTCCCATTAGGGACCCAACTGATTCCTCCTAATTTTTCAGTGCGTGTTCTATCACTTCCAATCCACATACCTTGTGATTTATCCTTGTTCAGCCTGAGCCCAGAGATGCTACCAAAAGAATCGATGTCCAACAAGGCTGAAGCAAGGTCTTCTTGGTCTTTTAGAATCAGAGTGGTGTCATCAGCATACTGCAAAACTTTGCAAAAATTAATTATTTCCCCTGACAAAATTGTGCTCATTCCAGATATGCTGCTATTGTTTCTTAACTTTATTGACATCAACTCAGCAACAAGTACAAAAAGAAGTGGACTTGTGCAGCAACCTTGTTTTATTCCTCGCTCTGTGTTGAGCCATTCTGACAACCATCCCCCATTTTGTACACAACATTCTGTGTTAGCCATTAAAACTCCCACCATATTTATAAATCCTTCTCCAAAGTTAAACTTTTTCAATGTGGCCAATATTGTTCCCTTTTCTACAGTGTCGAATGCGCGTTGAAAATCCAGAGATACCACCATACCTGGTAGATTTTTTTCAGATGCTACGTAGATAATGTCGTCAAGTGTCCTAATGTGCTCCGAAATGGACCTGCCTTTCAAGAAGCCAGTTTGGTTTTCATTTATTAAAATTGGCATAACACGCTGTAGCCGTATAGCTAATATTTTGGAGAAGATTTTGTAGTCCGTGTTTGTTAACGTTATCGGTCTCCAGTTCTTTATATTGTCCCTTCGTAAATTTTTCCCTTTATGTAATAAAGAAATAACGCCTCTTCTTTGAGTGGGAGATAACTCTCCCGTCTCTAGACACTGCTGGAAGTTTGTAAATAAAGGTTTCCTCAGTTTGCTCCAGAAAAATTTGTAAAAAGGGGTGGTAATTCCATCGATTCCAGGTGCTGAATCAATATTCAACTTATTAACAATGGCATCTAATTCAACAATGCTTAGTTCGCTATCACATATTTCTTTATCAACATCATCGAGTACTGGAAAGCTACATCCTTGCATGAAATCATCAACTTTGTTTGTTTCAATATTATGGTCTTTCTTATATAAACGTTCAAAGTGATTTTTAATGCTATCCACAATATCTACATGACCATACAGATTGTTGTTTTTGTCATCCTGTAAAGAAGTTATAACATTACTACCACCTCTCATTTGTTCCATCCGAAGAAAGTATTTCGTATTCTTTTCCCCTTCCTCAATCCATTTTTGTCTTGATCGTATTTGTGCTCCCCTGGCCTTATGTAGTTGATATATTTCTAATTCTTTCTTTTTGGCTTCAAACTGTTTAAGCAATGTAAGGTCATGGGGGGTTTTCACTACTTGATCATTTAATTTCAAAAGTTCTTCCGTTATTAGAATTTCCCTTAGTTTGAGTGCTCTGCACTTTCTAATACAATAGTCAATTGTATGTGACTTTATCATGACTTTCAAAAGTTCCCATCTTATGGTTTTATCTGTTTCATCTAAAGTCCGTTCTAAATATTCGTCTATGCATTTCTCCATTGAGTTAACGTACTCTTTGTCTTTTAGTAATGAATTATTAAATTTCCAGTATGAAGGCCCCCTTTTAAATTGTTCAGTTCGAACAGTAGTTATGACTGCTTTATGATCCGTACCATATACAAATGTGTGTTTAGAGTCTATAACAAAGGGAAATAACTTAGTATTACAAAATATGTAGTCCAGCCGCCGTGCTGTAAAGGGTGTAGGCCTGGACCAGGTGAAATCCTTTTCTTCACCGTGCACACCCCGCCAGGTATCAACGATCTGACAGTTGGCGATCCAGTCCCTGAATTTTTGTGTGGACATGTCGTCGTGTTTCTCTCCTGTCACAATATCAAGGGTATTGTTATGAACAACATTGAAATCTCCACATATGATCGTGTGGTCTGCCTTTTCATCTTTAAGAACAGAGTAGAGCTTATCAATGAAATCCAATTTATCATTTTTAACTACTGGACCATATACATTAATTGCTACGTATGAAACATCATCAATACTGAAAGACAACCCAAGTATTCTCTCAGTTTTTATACATAATTCCACTGTTTTATACTTAAAGTGTTTATTAACTAATATAATTTGCCCTTTGCTTTTGTTTGTCCCTTCACTATAAAAGAAATCCCCAGACCATTCTAAACTCCACTCACGTGCAGTAGTATTGGTGACATAAGTCTCTTGCAAACAAATTATGTCATACTGTGTACATTTACGGAATATTGCTCTTCTTTTTAGTTTTTTGTTGAGGCCCCGACAATTAAGGGAGGCAATTTTTATAGACATCCAAAACAGTCAGACGCAAAACCAAACTCAAAGTCCTTTTACCTGTCCAAGTCGTTACCAATGGCTACCGAAACGTGGACACACCACTCACGCACCGACCTCTTCGTGCTCACACGTTTCGGTAGTCACTGGCTCCTCATAATCAAAATAATCTACCGTATCTTGCCTTTTTCTCGTGCCACTCACCTCCTGTTTTCGAGCTTTCACGCTCGGTGACCGAGCTGGCTCGTCGCTCACCTGTCTTTTATGTCTCCTCGTCTTGACACTTGGAGACCTTGTGTCCTGGCTTCGGGGTGAGCGTACTGGGGGGCGGGAGCGGTCAGGCTGCGGGAAAAAAGAGTCCATATTTGTTTGCCTTACAGCACGCAGGGTGTGTGTCTCTGCCTGTGTCTCCGCCTGTGTGTCAGCGTTAGCCTCACGGATTGTCGCTTGAACATTGGTGTCGGGGGCGGGCTGATCTCCACCGGTTGTATTGGTCCCATCGTCTCTTTTTTTTCTTTCTGGCCGTAGTGATACAACGTTGGCCTCCAGTGTCCAACCTGAAAATCTTTGGGGAGAGGGTGAGGGGGGACATTAATGTAGACAAAACGTCTACCAGATTTAAACAAGGTCAACTTTCCTTCGTTGTCCCTATAACATTCTTCATAAAACTTTGAAAGAATGGCCACTCCCTCTAGTTTCTTAAACTCTTTTCCTATTTCATCATTGGACACTGACAACGGTATGTTACCAATGATGACTTTCAATGTGGGGGAGTCCTTGGTTCCTTTCGTCACCGTCGGGCTGGCGCTGAGGATAGCGACAAACATTTTGTTAATTATGATGCCCTTAATGATTAGTTGGTTTCTTGCCTGAACCGTAGCAGGGTATATCCTCCACAGTCCATAGAGCTTTTGGGCTCCGATAATACTTCCCTCGCCGACAACTTGCTCACAGGCCTTACATATTTGGTAGCCTGTGACAGAGCGGTCAATATGCTCTGCAAAGAAAAAACAGGCTGGGACAGATTCACTGTTATTTTTTGCCATCATGTTCACTTAGCAGTAGACGGTTATTCCTAAGAAGAATGATTAAAACAAGGAAACTGTAATATCAGGATACAGAAAAGAACAAGTAAGAGTAAGAGTGAGATAGGGAGTGAAAAAAACACAGCGCGATAGCCAGGCGAGAAGGAATAGAAAAAACAACAATGAAACCGTGCTCGAAGCAAGGTTCACTGAGAAGAAAAAATTATGCAGACAGTAGAAAAGACAGTATACAGTGCACAAATTACAACAAAAATATCAAAACTTACTTGAGTATACGAATGATACCTCTTACCACCACTTACAACCACTTTTCTCCACTGAAATCCGTATCAAAATCACCGATAACACAGGAGCTAAGAAACAGCGACTGACCTCAGCCGCCATTAAACCGGATGTGACCTACGTAGTAAATCAAATCGGTACTCCCCGTGCACTTTATTATCTGAACACCAGGTTCAATTCTTTTGTTGTAAAATACGATTTAAATCTACCATAAATATCATATTATTTTGTCCAGCAGAGGTAGACAACGGAAATAAACGAAAGTCGAAAGTTGACGCTTTCCATGTGTTTTGCGAGAGGTAACATGTAAAACTTAATTGATTCATAATTGAAAACGGACATCAGGAGAATTTTTCCGACATGTCCTTTGGTTTTCTTTTGTTTGGTTGTTTCTAAATATTTTTTTGTTTCTTTGTGATTTCTGTTAGGAGAATTTTTGTTTGACTTTAAATCTCCAACAAATATAGATAAGACAGATAATAAATTATTTGTCCAGTACAGTGGGATCCCACGTGATATTTAAGAAAACAGAAGGATTCTGGCGTCTAGTGGCTCTCTCGCTTTTATGATTTGCTGTTTGGCTGACGGTTTCGCATAAACACTGTTATAAGTTGCCGATCCTAAACTATGTGTAGAGATGATGTCTTTTCCTGCTCTGAGTCTGAAAAGAACAACCTGATTTTGACGGGAGCAAAGGTAGTAGGGGTCAGGGTGGCTATAACATTGCGTCTGGTCATAATTTGATGACAGATTTAACCTCCAAGTACGCTCATAATTTGTCCTTTTTTCAGGCTGTTCTGATCGAGATGTTTCTTTTTCTATTAAATCGGCTGTTTCATTCTAGATCTAGCCCGAGATAGAAGCTAGCACGACATAAGGGAAACAAAGAAGCATTTATTTGTGACTTATACCCTGATTCAGGTCGAAAGAGGTATTGATGAGATTGATGATGATGATGATGATGATGATGATGATGATGATGATGATGATGATGATGATGATGATGATGATGATGATGATGGTGATGATATCAGTACATGTGCATGAAGAAAAAAACGAACTACAGTTCATTGTCACTTTTGTTTACTCCTTTCGACTTTTTAATACTTCCTATGTACATTTTATATAATTCCTTGCCAATATGCATTTTGTTCTTCTTTCACGACTGCTGATTTGAGACTATCTATTATTTTCTTTTTGAGCATAATATTTTTACCCCACCATCTACAAAGCTTAAGAACATTTAAAAAGCTATACTGGAAATATAGAAATTCAACTGAAATTTGTCTTGAACTTTTTAATGTTTGCAGCAAAGATCTACAGAGCAGGAAAACAGGTTTATCAACACTGTCGCGTATTCAAAAAAGGGAGTTCAAATCTTGAAGATGATCCAGGACGTGGACGTCCCCAGTCTTCTGTGACAGACAAGAACATTGCAGGTGTTGATGCTTTGGTTTGTGAGGGAATTTGTGTGAAAAGTTCGGATTTCGTACAGATTCGGCTCGCTGGGTGCCGAAACAAGTGACAGAAGATCATTAAGTTTGTAGAAGGAGGCTTGTCGGACAATTTTTGAACGGTATGTCCGCCTCTTTTACCTCCTGTTTCTAAAATGAGATCAAGATGTCCAAGACTTTTATGTCGATTCAAGTGTCCCAGATACTGCAATGGTCTGTTCCTGTTTTTGGGCTTCTTTGTTTGTTTTTGTTTTTGTTATTGTTGTTGTTGTTGATGCTGATGGTGTTTTGTTGTTCTTTTTGTAATCTGAGTGGGCGCTCCATGTGGGTTACCTTGAGCACTATCCTTACTTATTACCTACTTACTTGGTTGAGAATAAATAGGTATCATTGCGGACGGTGAAAAGTCATAGCTGCTCCCATTCGTCTCCTGGATCCAAGAAAAGGTTGGTTTGCTGATCGTGCAAGTTATCAGCTGGTTTGATATTCTTCTGGCTTTTTCACGCAGGTTGCTGTCTCTCCCTGACCCTCTTGAGACACCAGCTTCCCTTAGTCTTTCCATTGTGTGTAATGTGGAGCCTTCGTCGTCTCAATGGTTGTTGGCCCGAGCTGTCAGTGGTGCCATGACCTTTGGTGGATCGAGTGACATGGTGCTGCCAATCTCAACCTGACTGGCCTGCTTATCAGCTCGTTCATTGTCTCGAACCTCTGCATGACTAGGGTTAAACATCCATGCAATCTTTGTGAGTCTGTTGCTTCGTATAGCCTCTCGCCAGTCTGCATACAAGTGCTTCTTCACCTTTTCAAGGTATTGAGTCAATGACGATGATGGCAGATTGATGCTTGGTCGCCTTAATCCAGTTTAGAGCTTCTGTGATGGCTTTCGTCTCCCTAGACATGATCTTCGTTGCTATGATTTTTGCACCTGAATGCCCTTTCTATATGGTACTGTTTACTCGGGCGCTGAGAGCCCATCCAGATTTGACCTCAACTTTTACTGATCCATCTGTGTATATGACAACGTCGTCCTATTCACTGTTCTCTATCATGGCCTCTACTTCTGCATTGGCTGCCCCCTTTGGCTTCTCACGACATTCTCTGCCTAAGGTTGCTACCACTCGAGTATACCGCCCAAGTTTGTCAGTGACGCAAACTCATTCACTGCCCCTTCGGATATCTTGCACGTCGTAGCATTTAGCCAAGGTCATCGCTACTTTATTCAGTCTCTCTAAGCAGACGTGTGCGTACCATTCTTCCCACGTTGTCGTGTAGTGGGTGCTGATCCTCGGCTCTGACTCTCAGAAACACTTTCCTCTGAGCAATCTTGTGACGTTCTACCATGTCTGAAAGGTCCAGGAGAGAGCGCATAGCCTCGCAGGGTGTGTCTCGTGTGCATCCGAGAACAGTCTGCATACCTTCATTCCGAATTCATTCAAAGCGTTCGTTTCAGCTGCAGCATTGAAAAGGTGAGGAGATGGGGGGCCATAGTCTATCACCGACAGCGTAAGAGTCTGGTACAGTATTGTTAAAATTGTCTGTGGCATTCTGTTACACGTCACGGTTTTCAGTGCAGTCAGACGTTTTCTCGCTCTTGCGACGATCCCTGTTATGTGAGCTTTACCTGAGAGCGATCTGTCGAAAGTAATATCCAGACACCTCAGTGAGTGCTCACACTTCAGGAGCCTGCCTTTGATGGTGACTGTGGGCATCTCTGCAACTCCTTATCGGGGTGGAGTTTGCTGTTAAGCGCTACCAAAAAACGTTTCCTTACCTTCCATGAAACTCTGCTTTCGCTGCCTTTTTGTTGTTGTTTTGTTTTGTTTTTTCATTATCTGATGTAGCTGTCCAGCACTCACATCCATATAACATGTTTGACAATACAGAGCCCTTTAAAACTCTCATCTGTTGCCATTGTGATGTTTTTAATTTTCAGGATTGGATTTACTAAGTAAAAGCTGTCTTTAAATATTGCAAATTTCTTTTTTAACTTCTGTGGTACGGGTCGCACCATTAGCTCAGTTCATGTTGTAATACGCTTTGAAAATTGAGGTGCATCAATATTGATAGAATAAATGTACGTTGCGTGTCCATTGGATGGAGAAGTCTGCCTCTACAATAAATAAAGCTTTATTACGACAATAAAAAACAGATAAGAAAACAGTTTGCTCACAAATACCACGCAAAACGTGGATTTGATTAATTCTGCTCACTATTATTTTGTATAGTAGTCATTGGTTTTGTGTACATCACGGACTCTTTGAGCTTGGGCTATATTAAATTTTGAATATAATTTTCTATCACTTCATCTCAAATGTCACAAAGAGTTGCAAACAAAGCGTTTGAATTTGGAGCAAAGTCGCTTTTCTTCTGCTGCTGTTTCATGGGGCTATTTCCACTAAACCAAGCCTTCCGTTGATTCTCTCAAAGGTGGATTTGTTCCTTCCAGCTCAGACCGCCCATAGCTGTGGTAGTTTCTTGGCCTCTGTTCCTCACTGAGAGATGATTCTGTCCAAATCTACACGAAACCAAAACAAACTGATAATGAGCACATGTAATAACTATAATCCTGTGACTGATTGCACCCATTGTTCATTTCTCATATTACGATCTACCATCTCCACGGTCTTAACTTTTTTTTAGAATAATCCCTAACTTAGACACTAACCTTTTTGTCATCGAAAGATAGATAGATAGACTTGAGCAAAGAAATAGCACAAAGGGGGAAAACAGGAGAAGAGGGCTGTGGTAATTTCATATGCTAAATAAAGCAGCTTAACTTATAAGTTCCTAGCCTCCAATATGCTACTTTTGACAGTGAATACGTTTTATCAGTCCTCTATTATTTGGGGGCGAGATTTCTTGACGTTAGCTTGTGATTAATGGTATGCAATTGCCAGAACCGTTGAATTCATACTTAATCAAAAACAGCTGGCTATTACAATGAACAGGCTTTAGGGAAAAGCTCTTCACCCTGCCATTCATCCAGCCATGGCGACATTATTTTCTTTCCAGCATTTCACAGGTGTCTGTATTCCTGTCAGAGCGATCGTGTTATTTTAATCTAGTGTCTATTACCTTTTACAGATTTTCATAAACATTTCTCTGTACTTTGTTCACATATAGAAAAATATTAACACTAGAGTTAACCATTTCTATTCTGAACATAAATGAGGCTGCGACAATACTTAAGTTTTCACATTTCCCTCCGGCTTTGAATTCTGTTACCAGAAACATAGAAGAAAAGTCACCGCCCCTGGCATTAAAAAAAATATAAAGGTTGTAGAGATGAGGATGACTGTTTTCACAGTCTTGTTTTCTTTGGCCCCTAACTCCTCTTTTCCACTTACCCCATTTGCTAGCCGTGGCTTGACGCCATTTTGTCTTACTGTTCAATCTAATAACTAGAATGATGGTGCAACATATTGCAGCGATGAAGGAAAGCGCGATCAAAATTACGCCCTGCTTCATAACCACAATGGAATCCACAATTTCTCTTTCTTCAGCAAAATTTGTCTATCAGTAGTGAAGTGTTTCTGGCTGGATCCGGTAACCACGACAGTCTGGTCGAGTAGTAGAAAGAAGAAAAGACTCAAAATCATGAGGATAAAGATAGAAACAATTGTGATCTTTGCTCTTCGAAGAGTCAGAATCCTCTT